TATATGTATATACACGCAGGTTTCACAGACACACACATGTATACATATACGTTGAATATTATATACACAGTATATATATAACAGCAAATCTCTGATGAGTGTCTAAAATTTCAGTCTCCAGAACAGCAAAGAAAGGGTGAATTGAGAATGGAAAGTAAAATTTGATTTTAAAATTTAAAATTTGATTGACTAAAGGAGGAAGGGGAAGTAGTCTTCCTAAAAGCAAAAAAGAAAAAAGTCCTGCACTGCAGTTCTTTGAAGGATGTTGCTTATCACTATGTAAGACAAGAAACTGCAACGAAAGTAAATCATCAGGAAAGTGTTTCAAAAAAGAATCACGTACAATTCAATTCATAATCCAGACATTTGGACTCCACCAAAGGTGTTTAAGGAACATTCATGATAAAGGGGAAGGAGAGGCAGGAACTGCTTCCTCAGGCTGCCCAGTTTGCACGTCTCAACATCTACTTTATTGCCATTGCAACACTTCACAGTAAATCAAAGCATGCTTCACATGTTAGGACATAAAAATGCAAACATAGATTTTTTTGGCTAATGTCTGTCCAAGTTATAACTTCATTTGTCTTTTAACAATGAATAAAAGGATTACTCAATTTCACATATAGATGACTTCCTTAAGAAGTTCTCATTGTCCTCGGAAGAGACACACATAGATCATCAAGTAGAATTCTAAAGAACTTTTCATCAAGAAATGGCTTTTGTTAAAACATTTAAATTGTCAAAATTCTACAGGCCTAACGTTTCCCTATTTTGGCACTGTAGTGGAAAATTAGCCTGAACGTCTCAAGTTGAAATATCAGGAAAGAAATATTTACTCCGCCCCTCAAAACAAAATGGTAAACAAACAAAAAAATATTATAATCTCCTAAAGGGCATAAACTCACAACTTCCAGATGAAACTTCCCACTATCTGAATGTCTCAGACATTTCATGTCTTTTACAGTTTAAGAAATAGAGCATTTACTTTTAAAGGCACACAGAACCTATTTTACATTATATTGAAAATGACTGGTGTTTTCCAGGTCTATGCTGTACCGGGTATCATGCAAGAATTCGGTTCTGAAGGCAATGATAGGAGCCTGGACAGAGAAGGAAGACGGTGAGAGCCACTTATACCTGGTCTCCTGGCAGAAGTCTAAATCGACCCTCCTGGTGAGTGGACCAACAGCGTGGTGGTAGCAGAAATGGAAGTTACTAATTCCTGTGAAATCAGCCACAGATGAAAAGCATTTAACACTGCTGTCCCTGAATGCTTTCTCAAATGCATTTATAGTTTGATAGGCATTTCTATGTATATTCATAGAACTATTTATATGTCTGCATAAAGTCCTATATATGTCCATAATGGAATTAGTTTTTGTAGGTATATATAATGTATATGTATACATAAGTCCACATATACATATAAAAAAGCATCTTTTCAAAATTGTTTGAGACTGGATAGAATTCACTCCACAAACCCCTCAGTTATAGTGGCCCTTCTGCATTACAGAAACATTCCTTCCTCAGTGCAGAAACAGAAACCTGTAGATAATGTTTATTTAAAAATAACAACTGCCTGCTCATATCTGCAAAACGTTACCTGAAAATGAGCAAAATGACACAAGTGATCTATGCTCTGAAAGACAGACCAGTCAAGTGGGATTTTTGCAGCAAGCATAGTAGATTGTGCCCTGGAGAAACGCTTGCCTCTTGGGGAAACTTTTTCTTACTTTATTTATATAATACTCTCCTAGAAGGCGGAGAAAGTACACAGCCTCCCCTTCCCAATTATTATCCACTAGGAGCAACATAGTTATTGATGATGGCAATACAACATTTCACAATTGTTCTCTGAATGCTGGGAAGCTTAAGTTCAAAGACAAGAACAAATACTAGTCTCGTGACTCATGGAGGTAATGACGATGTTATAGAGTAACTGATTCCCATTGTGTGAGCAGTTTGGGAAATTCTCTCAAATATGATGGCTCCTTTACTCAAAGAAAATCTCTTTTTCCCTCAACCTCAAAGTCAGCCACACACAAAAACCTCTTGTTCACAATACCCTGAAGCTGCCTTGCAATCTTAAAAAGTAAGGAAAACTAACCTTTATTCACAACTCCTGGTTAACTATTACGAAGAACATGCTTTCCTGATCACTGAAGCTCTACAGTCAGGGGAAGAAGTCTTTTCTTTTCTTTTCTTTCTTTTTTTTTAAAGGCAACAGAAAGAGGAGTGACTCTTTTGTTCTGAGTTGTTATTGTAAAGCACCACATGAAAGAAAAGGAACGATGGGAACGAGGCAATGAAAAGGACAACAGCGCTGACAAACGAAAACAGGATATTAAGAACAGCGTCGGGACTGTGAGTCTGTACAGAACAAAGGCGGAAGGCTTCTCGGGAGAAATTCAAGCAGAAATACTCTTAACACATTTACATGCTAATGGATGAACTGTAGTTTCTCCAGGTGGCATAGATCTTTAAGTCCGGGGCAATAAAACTAGGTTATCATTAAAACACACACACACCCCATAAAGTGTCATAAAATAAAAACTGCTTTCAAATCACATTCAAGCACACACTCCGCTTTCAACCAGTAATCCACTGTTTGAAATTTCTAGATCTATGTTTTGCCCTACGTAAAATAAGATACTGGTTCTATCAAATAACTTAGTATACAGTCCCAAGAAACAATTTTCTTTCCATTCACTGCACACTCTAACTTACACTTTAAATATAACCTTTCAATAGAGCTTTCAAGAACTCCCAGGGAAACTAGGCAATGGGTACTGTGTTGTGAAACAATTACTGCAACGACCTGGCTAACATTAGTAGAGTACACTGGTTTTGTCAAGTCATGGTGGTATATCTTACACTTTTCTTCTGATGCAAATTCTGCATCAGAAGCTAGTATGATGGTACATTTAATAAGACATCACTCTAGCTTATTGGACTTACCACATAAGAATTATTATTATTGTAGTCTCTAAAGAGGTTCAGAAAAGTAAAAAACATGTCTTATTTTGCACTCCATTAAAAAATTCAGTCTTGTTTTCTCTCTTTTCTATGTTCTGCCACTATTCTCTTTTCCCCCTCTTCCTGATCAGTCCTTTCAATTGTCAGATGAGTAATGACACTCATCTTTTTTGCTAAAGCATTTTATCCAGCTTTTCTGGCATGCTTTCAGAAAACTTGGGGCTAAGCCCTGAGCTCAGTGGGCCCAAGTGTCCTTGGTCTAGTTTTGGGCTGACACTGTTGAGGTGGTGTCCTATTAAAAAGAAAAACATGTAGTGCCTTGAAGCCAGATAAACCTGACTTCAAATCCTGACTCTGCCATTTCCTTGCAAAGGCAGATAGGAGACAGATACTGTACATATCTTATACTCACAGATGCTCTTCCTATCCTCTATGCAGTTTCCTTATCTGTAAAACGTGGACAATAAGAGCTATCTTAAGGGTCCTTTGAGGATTAAGTGAGGTGAACTTTTTAAAGTGCCTGAGAAAATTCTCACTCTTATGGAAGGACAGGATGGTAGAGGTGGGGGGTTTGGGGTCCTTCTTTCCTTCTTTTCCTGAATCACCTCTTCCCACTCTTCTTTGAATAAATTCTTTATCTGTGTTTTTTATTGGAAACCTCTTCATACCATTTTTGGAAGGAAGAAGGATATAAAATAAATCCATTTATTCAATAACATTCATCGAGCATCTTATGTGAACAAACAGTATGTGAATGAGAAATGAACTAGCTAGCATTTTTATTCTTTTTTTTTTTTGGACACGGAGTTTCGCTCTTGTTACCCAGGCTGGAGTGCAACGGCGCGATCTCGGCTCACCGCAACCTCCGCCTCCTGGGTTCAGGCAATTCTCCTGCCTCAGCCTCCTGAGTAGCTGGGATTACAGGCACGCACCACCATGCCCAGCTAATTTTTTGTATTTTTAGTAGAGACAGGGTTTCACCATGTTGACCAGGATGGTCTCGATCTCTTGACCTCGTGATCCACCTGCCTCGGCCTCCCAAAGTGCTGGGATTACAGGCTTGAGCCACTGTGCCCGGCCGCATTTTTATTCTTAACACTAATGACTTACCTTCACACTGGCAATTTCATCTATTTCCTACACTATGACATACCTCTATTCATTACCACTGATCTCCCACCATGACCTCGGGGCTTCACTTTTGCTTCCCACTGAAGGTCACCCTGTCCCATATGCATTCTTTGTCAGAATTTTTTATTTTACAGAAAATAAGGGACCCTGGCATGGATGGAACATGTGAAACTATCAAGAACAGTGAAAAGTTTCAGATTTTTGCTACCTGCTACTTTTGTTTCATGAATGCTGGCAGAAGACCACTTGAATCAAAGATAAAGGCTGTTTTTTTTTGGTATGTGTTTCATGTTCTGTTGGTTCCCCTTGCCCCGGAAGTCCTGTGGAGCATCTCAGGTCCATGTTTACAAACTCAGGAGGTTTGCATCATATCTGAGCAACCCCAAGCTTAGGGAATCTGAATCTTTTATAATGGACTGCAAGTTAGCATGCCCAACAAATAGTCTGGAATAAGAGCTTTCAGTGCTTCAGCTCACAAGAGGCACAAAAATGCGATGGATCCATGGAAAATTATTTCCTAATAGACACAACTCCTGTCTCCTGGGGATATGGCCAACAGTTGTCACTAGAAAGCAGACGATCACTGGGCTTTCTAGCAGTTACCATAGAGGGAGAATTTCATTTGGCATTGAATGTCCCTTGAGTCATAGAAGACTAGAGGTAAAAGGAGCCTGCAAGAAAGTGATGAAAACTCCTTACCAACAGCTCCAAGCTCCTTCTCCAACCACCCTCTGACATCAGCTGTTGTACCAGGAAAACTGGCAGAAAGCAGGTAAGCCTCACCCATAGATTTTGTTCAAGTAAACGTAGCCCTTAATGTCCTCCATAGTCCTAAAACAGCTTGGGTCTATGCCAACTCTTCACTCTGAACCTAAACTAATTTTAAGAGTTTGGTGCTTATTTCAGCAGCACATAGATTAAAATTGGAATGACACAGAGAAGATTAGCATGGCCCCTGGAGAAGGATGGCACACAAATTCATAAAGTGTTTCATAATTTTTATTATTCAAAAAATATTAATAAAATAAAAGTTTGGAAGAGTAAGCTAATTTTGTTACTTTTATGACATTGGAAATCCTGTATGTACATCCATCTGGCTTTCTTTAAGCATTAAAAAAAATTAGAAGTCTTGGCCAGGCACGGTGGCTCACGCCTGTAATCCCAGCACTTTGGGAGGCTGAGGCGGGCGGATCATGAGGTCAAGAGATCAAGACCATCCTGGCCAACAGGGTGAAACCCCGTCTCTACTAAATATACAAAAAACTTAGCCGGGCATGGTGGCCCATGCCTTCGGTCCCAGCTACTCGGGAGGCTGAGGTGGAAGAATAGCTTGAACCCAGGAGGCGGAGGTTGCAGTGAGCCGAGATTGTGCCACTGCATTCCAGCCTGGTGACAGAGCAAGACTCCGTCTAAAAAAAAAAAAAAATTAGAACTACTTCTTTTGGACTAAAACTAGAAGAGTCATTTCTTTCATTATTCTTTCATTCCACTGATATTTTGAGGTTGTCCTGTGTGCCAGGAGCTGCTCTGGGCAGTAGCAAATTCGTGGTAAATATGAGAGCAAAGGCCTGCCCTTGGAGAGCTAATATTTTAATGAAGGAAATAAAAAGTAAAAGGGTTTTAAAAAACACAAACATTTCAAAAACTCATACATAAAATGAAATAAAAAGGATGACATGATAGAAGGTAGATGCTAGCTTTCTTGACATTTTGGCTTTGTCCCTGCCAAATAAACAAGCAAAGAGTATCTGAATTTCAGTATAAAACTTTCCAGTGTTTCGTCAGAAAGCTGTGATTTAATTTTTCAAGTTGTTAAATGTTTAGTTTCAGACTTCCACAAGGATAGATTTCTTTTTCAAGGGCATAAAAATCCAACTTTTACTATTTCTTACAGGAAAATGCAATGTAATGAATTATTGGAAAGTACTGACCTCTTTATTTATTTTACCAATAAAATTTTGAAAGAGAAAAGCTATGAACACTTAGTGGGCTCAAACAGCAGGAAACACTATGTCTTTTTGTACTGCTATAACAGAATTCCTGAGATGAAGTAATTTATAAAGAACAGAGATTTAGTTCTCACAGTTCTGGAGACTGGGAAGTCCAAGATCAAGGTGCCATCAGGTTAGGGCCTGATCTCTCTATTTTCAAGATGGCACCTTGAAGGCTGTGTCCTCTGGAAGGGAGGAATGCTATGTCCTCGCATGGCAAAAGGGCAGGAGTGGAAAAACCCACTTCCACAAACCCTTTTAATAGCAGCTTAAGCCATTCATGAGGGCTCTACCACTAAGCCCCACATCCCAACACTGCTGCATTGCAGACAAAGTTTCCAACAAATGAATTTTGGGAGACACATTCAAACTGTAGCATATGGTTCTCAGAATTACCTGAATATCTCAAATGTTTAATTCTAGGATATTAACTCAATGTTGAAAATAACAATGGATATACAGTTAAGGTTATAGGGATGGACAGGAAGGAAATTAATAGAGACACTGGAAGAGGCATTGGTTTTGTCTGTACTTACTCACCAGCTCTTCACCATTAGAAGAGGAAATTTCAGAATGGAAAGGAAGGAAATGAGAGAAGAGTGCTGGGGAAAATAAACACATGTGACTAGGGCTTTATGACTGGTGAGCACCAAAGATGAGTTAAGACTAGATCCCATTGGCTGACAGCTCTAGTTGGTGTCTTATTGACAATGACAATAATATCAAAAAAGCATCTAAAATAAATAAATTCACTGGCTAGGTAGAATTGCAACAGCCGCTGGATCATGATTTTTAGAGCCTATCTCTTTAAGAAAGGGTTAGAAGGAAGACAATCACAGAGGCAATTGTTGTAGGAGAATAAAGAGTTGCTACTGTAGCTACAGCAGAGACCAAGAGAAGAGCTTGGGAAGTCTGGGTGGTGGGTGCCCTGTGCCACTCTTCCACAGTGAAGCAAATGAGGTTGGTGGGAGGACAGGGTGGCAGGGGTCCAGGGGAGGGGTTATAAAGCAAGTAGTCTTCTGAAGATTCAAGCTGTTTATCTGGAGACTTGAGAGTTCTGCCCAAAATATATGTTAAAAAAAAAAGTAGTCTATATAAGAAAAATCCCATAAATGCTATGAGGCTCCTAATGGCTTTTAAAACATATTCTCAAGGCAGACTAAAGTCTGAGAGATTCTTCTTATATTATCAAAGTACGCTTCAATTGCTATCTTAGAGATAAATTATAAATGTAATTCGTAAAACATGGATGCAAGGCATGAATTTGAAGTTAATATCAAAAGGTATGATCTTAAGGAGTTGGTTTAACAGTTTTTTGTTGTTATTTTGCTTTGCATCTTATTTGTTTGCTTGTTTAAAATTTAAAGGAAAAAATTCATTTTAAACAATTCTCTCTGAAGTGCATTTTAAGTGTGAGTTTCATCCCTTACATTTTATCCATTGAATCAAATTAGATAAGAAGCTGGCTTTTAAACATTAAAAATGGCAAAATTGAAAGAACTCAGTACTTAAGATGCAATCTAGGGCTTAAAAATTCACTTACAAAAAAAAATCTGCCTTTAAGAACAGTGAGCTTTCAAGGTGGCTAAGCTATATTAAGGTGAAGTTATACTTATTTTAACTATAAGTATGAATGCTAATTGGAGAAAGTATCATATAACTATATGAAAAAATACCGCATTTTTGAAAAACCATATTTGAGTGCCTCATTTGTCATCTGGATGGCAAAGATATTTCGGTTGTCTCTTTTATGTAGCTCCTTCAGCTTGTCCTTATTTAAGTCAACAGGGTCTCTTGATTCAGGGCATAGTTCCAAACAATTCTGCCAGTTGTCTAAATCTATTCTTTCCATTCCAAATTCCAAGTGACTCTCTCTCTTTTAAACGGATGCAAATACTTAGTTTCACAACTTTAGTCATTTTCATCCTTAGAATACAGACTGGGAAATTGCTCACTCCTGTGGTGCTGGGCAAAGGGTGCCAGACGATAGCAAAGATGTCGGTGACTTCACGGAAGGGAGCTTTGTTGTGCAGGAGCCACTGCCAGCTACCCTCCCCCAGCACCGACTGCCAAAACATCACAGTCCAAAGACGGGCGCTCCGATCCCCTTTCCCACCTCCCCTCCTCCACTTCCCTGCCTATCAGCATCCAGAAGCAATTCTTTGCATGGGTGCTTCTTCATCCTGATCCTGACTGGCAGCTCCAAGGATTAAACTCAGGTCCTTTGGAGCAGTCGCTTTATGCACATTAGCCCCCTGGGGTGTTGAACTCCAAAACCTCTATTTTTTCCCCCTGGGTCTACGCGGTATCTCACAAAACCCTAGTTAGCCACTGTGGTACACAGCCTTTCTTCCATTCCAGGCTATGAAAAGAAAACAAAACAAAACACCAGACCTTACAACAATATGATGGATATGGTAATGATCGAGGGTCTTTAGGGTAGTGGGCAAATTCCAAGTTCTTTCATAACCAAGACTTGGGAACCCGTTTTCTTCTTTATCATTAAGACTTCACATTTTCATCAGCAGAATCTTGCTTACAATAGCACAAATGATCATTTGGCTGAATGAAAATAGCTTGTGTATTGTGTGTGTGTGTGTGTGTCCAATTAAAAAAAAGTTCCTCAAAACTGCTGAATGAGAATCAAGACCAGTGTCTTCTTAATCAAACAAAATTTCCTGCTTAATGACTGCATTAAAAAAAAAAAAGAAAAAGACCATCTGGCCTCTCTCTGCTATTTGAGGTTTTTTTTTTTTTCTCCTCCTCACTTCCTGGTTATCTTTAGCAAAACATTATTGTTTTTACCGTGGTGCATTTCCTTCTGTGCATTACTTTAATAAATGGGATAGAAAGTATTGCTTCATTTCTTGAAAAATACTTTTCAGTTTAAAATGGCAGGTTTAAAAGGAGGAAAATGTGCTTAAAAGAAGGAAGATGAAAGTCAAATCACAGTGAGGGCATTAACCACTCATGTTTCTTTAAACACTTCTGCCAAGGCAAGCTCGCTCTCTCTCTCTCTCTCTCTCTCTTTCTCACACACACACACACACACACACACACACACACACACACGTTAAAAACCATTAAAATCCAAAAAGAAAAGCCACCCTATGCACCCTATCCTATTCATTTAAGGTGATAACTATACTAAACACCCTCCAAGAAATAAATCTGAAATGGAATTAATTTCCATGTGGGAACAAAGATGACAACAAAAGTTCAATCAAATCTCAATTAACTGAAATTCTCTGGAAATGACAGCGTTCTGGTTAATTTAATTTTCTGGTTAACTGAACCCCAAATAGAAAACTTTAAAAAAACCCCCATGGCATGTGTATACCTATGTAACAATCCTGCAAGATCTGCACATGTATCCCAGAACTTAAAGTAAAAAAAAAAAAAAGTTATACCTTCAAAATCAAAAAAAAGAATCCTAATTGAAACATTTCTAAGATGTTTGAATCCACTTTACTTGCATAACCACAAATCACATATTGGATCTAATTGAAAGGTTTGAGGTAATTTCAAATCTTACTTTTCCTTGAGAACATTATTAAAAAGACCTTTTTTCATTTGATCATAAGTAGAGATTGTGGGAATTCACAAGAGATAACGTAGGAGATTGATTTGACTGTATAATTGTATCCATGACCATGGATTTTTACAGTAATTCATAAGAACACCTTCCTCCTTTTACTTCACAAATCTTTAGGAAAAGTATAATGCAGAAAACTTGTGGTTAATCGACGTTTGATTTTTTTGGCAAAGTTCGGGTAAGCTGAGGGTTTTGTACATTTGCATGCTAAACAAAATGACAACGATTCCTCCTTTTCTCAGTGCTGCTCAATAAGTGTAAAAAATGAATGATAATTTTAATATAGTACTTCTGATTAATTTTATTAGTACAAATTGAAGACTATGGAATAATTTCAGAAATATGTAAACTAATTGAGAAAGCACTAGTGTTTAGGTTTCCCAGCGGAACATAATGGCAGCTCAAGACTAGTCC